GTAAAAATGCAGCTGGTTGAATACATAAACAAGGGCAGGGCCAGGTGAGAAAAATGAACGGAAAAATTTAAATCCTCTAACCAAAAACAGTTAAACACGAATCACTGCAATAGACTTTTCTCTCTTAACAGACATCCCAATGCTTTTCAGTTAATTAGACATGTCGTTCCAGTGGCATAATTGGGTGTTGGAGGACTCTGTGGACCTTCAGGAGATGGCTCCAGAAAGTATGCAGCCATCAGAACAGTGAGCCTTAACATCTTTGACCCAGTTATCCTTTTCCTGTCTTAAATAATGTTGTTATCTCCATATCGCTATCCCTACAAAAACCAGAGTCTTTTACCCAAGTGTCTCAGTAGCAGCAGTTTTAAACTGGATCCTCAGCTCACAAACAAACCATTTAAAAAATCACTCCATTACCCCCAGGATATGTTCAAATTACCTCAGGTTAAGAACCATTGCCTTAGCTTAGAACATTGTTTGCTACTTGTAATACAAAATTCAAGCTCTTAAGAAGCAAACAAGTAGGCACAAGAAAAGGAGAATCAAGATGCAAATAGCAAAAAAACAAGGAAACCAATGGGAGACACTAATCCACCTGACCACTAGATGGCAGCAAGGAGTTCACATTTACTGCATCACTTTGGTTTTTAAATCAACTGTCTAAAATGGACAACTGTAAGAGGAAGAAATGATGGATGACCCACTTTTACCCTTAAGCTATTGCCTGAGTGGTTAATGGGAGCTCTATTACTACAAACAACCTTCCTCCTAGTGCAAACAAAGATGACTATTGTTTCAGAACAAGTGAAAGAATGGGCAGTTGTTGTTTAATCTGCCTGCAAATTATCTTTGGCTGTTCTTATGTACATCCCACTAACTATCTGCTGCTTCTACCTCTGGGAGCTCTTTCTGCTAACCCCATCTTATTCTGAACAAGGGCGTGCATTGTGTATTGTTATGATTGTAAAACACCACCTGCAGCCTATTTATCAGTTGGCAATCCGCCTCCTACGTAAGATCAGGAGTTTTCCATTGAACAATGTGTGCAGCTGTAACAAACACACCAAAGTAAACTACTCCCACCAAAGCAACTCTTGACATTTACATGCCCGTGCTTCCCCCCTCCCCCTTTTCCTGAAAGACAACCTTTTGTAAATAAATAACTTGGTTTTCTGATGCTTCTACTTCCTCCAGGGTCAATATGCTACAGAAGTAATGTATTTGCTACAGCATTATTTATTTATTTATAAATTTTATTGGCTGACTACTTTATCACATTATTGTTACCAGTTTAGTTAATGTTGATGGCCCTCATAATCTGTGAAGCCCTGAATCAAATCTGAGACTGTGGGGTACTTGTATTAATCCTAAAAACACTATTGTTTCTACGACCAATTAGAAAACCAGACCAATCATTGTCCATTTAAAGAAATAGTTCCAGGAATATAAAGAGTATAAATATAAAGAATATATATTTTCTTTAAAAATAAATATTTCAACTTTATGGCACTAAAAATTTAGCAAGAGCTCAAAAACCTATGTTAGTATAAGAAAAAAATACAATAGTTTTGTCAATGTTCACACATGGGGTAATATTGTGTCATAGCCAGCTGCTGATTGTTATATATTTATCAGAGAAAGTAGTAGCCTCACGGTTTTTGCTCAAACACTAGAAAATATCCAAAGATTGTTGTTTCATTTTCTCCAGAACCCTTGAGAACATACAGAAAAAGAAATGTTAACAGAGAAATATTTAACATTTTTACAGAAAGCTATTGGGAGGTGTTTCAAATTAAGTTTCATTGTTTATAAAGCACTGTTGTGAAAGGACTGCTTTATTTGGAAAGTGTAGCACTTGGTTTCTGTTCAGAAAGACCAAAAATACTTTTATATTCCCCATGACTTATTTATCACAAAACTGAACCTGTCATTTTTAGTCTTCAATTTTGAAAGCTCAGATTTCTATTACAGAATAGCCAAGCAACTGTAAATGGATTAAACAAATTATTATGAATTCAGATATGCTATCAGGATAATTATGCAGAGAACATAGCTACTGGCAGATATATCCAGATGCTGGCTCAGTCCAAATTTCCTCTTTTTTATTGCACATCCAACCATGTCTGAATATCCACATCAAACTCACAACATAGATTCACTGAATCAACAGTACTGTTTGGTTAATAATCCAGTGAAATGCTGGCAACTTTTGCACTCACATTAGTCACAAAAGTGCAACTCCTACACACACATGAATACACACAGTTACACATTAACACTATTTCATTATGTTGTGCTTTTTATGATTTTTTTCAGTGCTAAGTAGGTATTCTATTAATGGATAATTTATAGTAGTTTTTTTTACTATTTATGATAGACCCTTTAACCTTTAAAACCCTTAAATTTATCTGAGAGATCTAAGAACCTTGCCCATAAATATGAAATGCCTACATAACATACGAATGGAGCTTTTTTCTACTATTTGAGTAACTACTTCACATTACAATTCAGCCTCCTTTCAGTCTGAAGTGGAAAAAGCATTTCTTTATTCCAATATAAACAATATGGCTCAATTGCTAGAAATATTAATCGGCATAGACAAGGGCTTTTAAGTGCTAACTAATGCAATGACTCATCAACTTGCAAATGGGTTGTGGGTGAGCCCATACAAGAGCAATGACACTTCAGGACTATATCTTTGAAAAAATAATGTTAGGAATTCAACATAAAAGTGAAGGAACATATTTTTCTTATCTGCAAAAGATGAAGTGTTACTGTTTGCAATGTGTTTATTCCCAAACCAAAGAATGGAATAATTTGAATCACTAGATTACGCTGTTTAATTTAGGCGATACACTGGGCAAAAGCAATCTCTTCAAAACAATTTACCGTACTAGATCTTATTACATAGTCCAAGCAGGGACAGGAGGGCAAGAAAAACAGCCTTAACTTGTATATCTGGTGATCTCAGACTACATACAGTAAGTTTCTTAATCATATCTCATGAATTCTTAATCTAATTTCAAAAACTCTGCAACAACATATGCATTCCTATTAGAGTTAAGGGATTAGATGACTAGATTTATTGAATAGAATGTTTAAAGATTAAATATATTCTTAACTATGATTAAAAAGAATAAGAAACTCGAGAAAATAAATACTATCAATCTAGAAGGGATATATATTTTAAGTACTATGTTATTTTCTATGTTTCGTTATTACTGCTCTCTTCTATTCTTTTTTATTTTTTACTTCTTTTTCATTCTTTTTCTTTTCCCCTTTCTTTTTACTCTTAGACTTAATACTTAAGAATCGTAAAAATGTAAGATGGCTTATATGGAAAAAATAGAATCAAGTCTGTCAATGTAAATGTAACTAATCGCTGAGAAAACCTTTACCAGTAAAAATATTTAGAATTTGGTGGGAGAAATAAACTAAAATAAGGGCAGTAACAGGATTGATGATAAGGCATTCCAAATAAATGGAAAGAAAAGAAATGTATTAATATGATGATTATTTTTTAGGAATATTGGAAAAAATATATAGTAAATTGTCATTTATTAAAATGACAAGAATTGTATTAACGCAATGTTTGCAAAAAAGGATATTTCAGGGAAAGAGGAAAGTAAACAAAATTAATATATGGAATACAGACTATAGAAATCAATTGTTTTTACAAATGTAACCCAGACACCACACTGTTTACCAACTATTGAATGACTTATGCTTGTGTAAAAAATTAATAAAAAATATAATAATAATAATAAAAAACATATTCATTCCTCTGGCAAGAGTAATAATTTTCCTCCCTGGCAATCTATTGTGTAACCAAAAAGAGTTGGAAAGAGAATGGGGGGGATTTATAAAAAAAAAAGAGAAAGGTAATTGGCCAAGAAAGGAACTGAGAACCCCATCCTCCTATGATTCCTCCTCTTCTAATTTCAGCTTCATTTACCTTTAGTCTATGGCAGGGGTGTCAAACTGCCGGCCAGTGGGCTGGATGCATCATGGCGAACCCGCACCCACCCCATTGCCAGCAATGGAAAAAAAAGTTGCGATACATTGCAACACATCACGTGACGTTGCAAGTTTGACATTCCTGGTCTATGGCCTCCCAAAAATTCAAGAGAAAATTAGGCCCTAACAGAAGAAGGTAGTCTGACCTCCTCGGCTTAAGTAATTCTACCATGATCCTGTCTTTGTGCTTCTAGTTTCATGGACTACAGAAATGCTTGCAGCTTTTACTTTAAAAATTAGGAGAAAGCCAAAATCTCAAATAAAATCTTTATTATGGTCACTGACCAGCATAGACAAAACCAGCAATCTTTCTCCCATCTTTACTGGAAGGAAGAGACAAAGACAGACGTCCTTTCTGGTTCATGCATAGTCAATTGAAGTGGCAACCAATCAATATCTAAATCACTGTTCTAACTTATGAAGAGTTAGAACACAGGGGAACGAAGAGTAAAATCAAACAAAACATTATCTAATAAGATGAAACCTGACCCAACAAAAATTATATACTAACCTACTGGTGAATGCATTACTCTTCATAATGAATCTGATAAAGACAGGGGAATTGCCCTGTGTTTATTTTATGGAGAGTAGATGTTTGACATATCATGTGAGCTGGGAATGTATATATTTGGATACATATAGCTGGAAATGTATATATTTGGATACAATCAAAATTTCTTAGAGATGTCTGCTTTAAAGAAACAGCCATGCTTCTCTTTCCTGTTGGTTTCCACCAGGCAAGGGCTTTTTAAATTTCATCTAAGGCTAGAAATACATCAGAGATGGAAAATCAATCACTAGATATTTCATTATCCCATCATTCCTTGGCATAATCTGAAAACTCCTCTAGAGCACATGGGAGGGGATCTAATCATCATGATGCCCTCCATATTCATGCTATCTGGAGTTATCGTCCACACATTCCTCGTTTTTCTTCTGTAACAAAATGGACAAACCGCAAACTTTGGAAAGTTACTTACTCCACAGTACTCATCATTGCTGAAGATCTGGGGAGGCAGTGGGTTGCCTTGTGCAGGCAGTTTGTCTTGAGGAATATTTTTATACATCCACCGCCTTTGCTCCTCTGACATGGTGATATCCACTTCTTCAAAGTCAATCTTGTTGGCTTCTAGAAATTGCACAATGTCTTGTTGCCTCTTCTTTCTCTAGAAAAAAGAAAGGCAAAACTAAGAGGTAATCACTTGTTGCCCAGCCAACTATGGAAGTCAATCATGGCAAAGTTTCTATTGTATACAAAAAGGGGTTTTCAGTCAGCAATAATATCGATATTGTCTTTTCTTGATCAGAAAAAGTCAATTTACCCATATGAGCAAGTTCCATCATCTTCATTCATTGAGCATAGTACTAACTTTTTTTATATCTTTGTGCTTATAATTATCTCACTGAAGTTATCATGCACAGATACAAAGTTTTTGGCAACTGCCCATATGTTCAGAAAGAAAACCCTCTCAATTGTATATTAATATTTAAAATCCTCTGAATCAGTGTATGTTAATCCAAAATTTTCTAGCTTTGTCGTATGTCCACAAAACTTGATGAAATATCCATTCCTCTTGTTCACATTTCCAATATAAATTGTATCAAGTGTCTTTATACATTCTAGACAATTTTTCTAGACACTATATAAAAACTCTCAACTTTATAGGGAAGGGATCCCTTTGCTATGTGTGCAGAGAGTGGAAGCTGGTACTGGACCTGGCCAGCTTCCACTCTCTGCACACATAGCAAAGAGTTTTTTTCCACCCATGTATCTACTTATCTATATTGCCTGCTTTCAAATTTCTGGGTGAGCAGGAGCTAGGGATCAAGCGATGGGAACTCACTCCATCTCATGCACCTGGGCTCAAAGTCAGCAGTTCCGGTGTCATTAAGCTTCTGTGCCACCATATCCCCTATAACAGTGGCCGCCAATCTTTTGGACAACAGGGACCGGTGCCATGGAGAAAGGTTTTTCCACGAACCAGAGGGAGTGTGGTTTTTACATACTGCCTGAATTCCACGGATGGGGCTTCACTTGTTTGTGTGGCCCAATTGCTGGGCATGCCGCGGACCGGTGCTGGCCCACAGATTGGGGGGTTGGGGATCCCTTCCCTATAAAGTTGAAAGAGAACAATTAACAAGTGGAACAGCTTGCCTTCAGTTGTTGTAAGTGCTTCATTACTGGACGGTTTTAAGAAAAGACTGGGCAGCCACCTGTCTGAAATAGTAAAGGGTCTCCTGCTTGAGCAGGGGACTAGAAGACTTCCAAAGTCCCTTCCAGCTTTATTCTGGTTGATTGTTCTTTTGGCCCAGCTGTTCATTTAATCCTGACTATCTCCACATGCATATACTCACAAGCATTTTGTTTCACTGAATTCTAATACAAAGCAAAATAGCCATAGCTGCACCCGGAGGCAGAGACCATGAGGAGCAACCTCTGAACTATCACGCAGGCTGAAAGCAGGGGCAGGTGCTTTAAGTGCTTAAAAAGAAGGGTACCCTCTAATGCAGGGCTTTTCAACTGGTGGTACGCGTACCAACAGAGATATGCATTGATGGTACGCATAGGACCGGTTGAAAACAATGTAAAAAAAAGTAAAAAAAAAAGTTTTTTTAAAAAAAGGAAAAGTGGATGAGGTAAAGCAGCTGTGAGAGCTCAGGGGAAGCGCCAGGATCAGCGCCTCTTTCCGCCTGATCGGTGCTTCTCCGAGGCCGTGAGAGCTCAGGGGAAGCGCCAGGATCAGCGCCCCTTTCCGTCTGATCGGTGCTTCTCCGAGGCCGTGAGAGCTCAGGGGAAGCACCAGGATCAGTGCTCCTTTCCTCTTGATCGGCGCTTCTCCAAGGCCGTGAGAGCTCAGGGGAAGCGCCAGGATCGGCACCCCTTTCCATCTGATCGGCGCTTCTCCAGGGCCATGAGGGCTCAGGGGAAGCGCCAGGATCAGCGCCTCTTTCCGCCTGATCGGTGCTTCTCCGAGGCCGTGAGAGCTCAGGGGAAGCGCCAGGATCAGCGCCCCTTTCCGTCTGATCGGTGCTTCTCCGAGGCCGTGAGAGCTCAGGGGAAGCGCCAGGATCAGCGCCCCTTTCCGTCTGATCGGTGCTTCTCCGAGGCCGTGAGAGCTCAGGGGAAGCACCAGGATCAGTGCTCCTTTCCTCTTGATCGGCGCTTCTCCAAGGCCGTGAGAGCTCAGGGGAAGCGCCAGGATCGGCACCCCTTTCCATCTGATCGGCGCTTCTCCAGGGCCATGAGGGCTCAGGGGAAGCGCCAGGATCAGCGCCTCTTTCCGCCTGATCGGTGCTTCTCCGAGGCCGTGAGAGCTCAGGGGAAGCGCCAGGATCAGCGCCCCTTTCCGTCTGATCGGTGCTTCTCCGAGGCCGTGAGAGCTCAGGGGAAGCGCCAGGATCAGCTCCCCTTTCTTCCTGATTGGCACTTCTTCCGGAACTGATCCTGGTGCTTCTCCTGAGCCCCGAAGAAGCACCAATCTCCTGGAAAGCGGCGTTGATCCAGGCCAGCGCACTCACACACACATGTATGAGCAGTTACAGCTGAAGGCTTTTCAGCCTTCAACTATGGCTCCCAGTCCTCTGGCGCCTCATTGGCTCAGGCTAGCCGTCCGTCAGAATCTATGTCCCATGATTGGCTGGCTCCCTCAATGCGTCCCTCCCTCGCAGAAAGGGTTTGACTCTTTATGCCGGCTTGTCCCCTCATGGGGCTCCTGATACTGTAGGCCCCGCTGGCCGGGAAGGCGCACCGGAGTCCCGGCTGCTGGTAAGGTGATCGACCCGCTCCTCTCCCATTGCCCACTCTGCCCAGGTTAAGCCTGGCTGGAGCAGCGTTGGTGCTTCCAAAGGTGGCCACTTCAAAGTCACACGGGCAGCCGTTGGCCGCTCCCCTCCCCGCCTCCAAATTGATCCCCAATCGGAGAGAGGAGGGAGGGAGGGAGAAAGAAATAGAGAGGGAGAGAGAGGGAGGGAGAGAAAGACAAAGAGGGAGAAAGAAAGAGGAAGAGAGGGAGAGAGAAAGAGGGAGAGAAAGAGAGGGAGAGAGAGAAAGGGAGAGAGAGGGAGAGAGAGAGAGGGAGGGATAGGGAGAGAGAGAAAGAGGGAGAGAGAAAAAGGAAGAGAGGGAGAGAAAGAGAGGGAGAGAGAAAGAAAGGGAGAGAGAGATTAATTTAGTAATATGGTTGTTAAGTGAAACTGGTTTCCCCCACTAACTTTGCTTGTCAGAAGGTTGCAAAAGGTGATCACATGACCCTGGAATAATGTGACCATCATAAATATGAATCAGTTGCCAAGTATTGAAATGTAAATCACATGACTCTGGGGATGTTGCAATGGTCATAAGTGTGAAAAATGGTCATAAGTCACTTTTTCAGTGCTGTTGTAACTTTGAACAGTCATTAAGCAAACTGTTGTAAGTCAAGGACTACCTGTATTTTATCACTTTTTTCCATTTTTTTTGGGTCAAGTTTTTGACACCTCGCTAGGTGACTGGTGGTACTCGAATGTTGCCATATTCTAAAAATGGTACAATCAATGAAAAGGTTGAAAAGCCCTGCTCTAATGTTCTAAATCAGGGGTCTTCAAACTTGGCCCTTTTATGATTTGTGGACTTCAGCTCCCAGAATTCCTCAGCCAGTGTGCCTGGCTGAGGAATTCTAGGAGTTGAAGTCCACAAGTCATAAAAGGGCCAAGTTTGAAGACCCCTGTTCTAAATTATTCTTTCAAAGAATTTGCAGGTCTCTGTAGATTAACGGTGCCAAGTAACTGAGAAAAGGGGGGTGCAAAAGAACTAAAAAGAAAAAAAAATGGGCATTATTCTGTCAAAACCAGGTTATGGTGCACTTATCACCCATAAAGCAGTTCGGAAATCACAGCATGTTCTAAATGCTAGCAGTTTATAGACAGCTTAGGAACACTTTGTTGGTGGCAAGGTGTGACCTAATTGATAAACAATTCTGAAGATGTTTAATAGAGGGCTAAGGAAACTGAAGACACAAAAGTTAAGGCAGTATCCAGATAAAATACTGTAATATATATTCTGAGTCCAGATATAGCACTATGCCAGCATAGTTTTTAATCAATTTTTCTATAAGCCACAATGGCTGAGTTTATATATAATGTACAACCGTTAGATCATTGTTTACAAATCACAATATAAAATTGTCAAAATGTGCAAAGCTGGAACTAAAGAAATCACATTTTGGAGTACAGTATTCTATGAATTTAGAAATTAAGCTGAATAATGCAGCCATGCACTTGAGACTTGCAAATATAACTAGCCTGTTTGCACAAATTTTATTTCTATATTCTCTGTGGTGAAAAAAAAACCACCATAAAATCCTCAAGTCAACGTTTCTGATATGTAAGATTGAAAGGTGGTGTGTGCTTCTGCTTTAAAAAGATACATTTAACTGCATGCTCTATTTATAGATTAATGGGCTGCATGCAGAGCATACAGTAGTAAAATTTATGGAGCCACTGAAAATGACTATTTTCTGTTGGCATCATGCATTCTTGTTTAAAAAGAACAATTAGCTCAGCAACTGGTAGAAGGCACAGAACAGAATTTCTGCAGGCTGATTCCCCCCCCCCCCAGATCTAAATCTGGAATCACCATCAGCAGATGGATGACAAGAATTGGGTAAGCAAACATCAATATTATTAAGCAGTTTAAAATGACTCAAAATGTAAATCAGCCAGTCAGGGATTGGGAAAATAAGACCAAAAACATGCCAGCTGTTGCTCAACAGAGTTCTGGCTTAGAATTTTGAAATATTCTTTGATTAAGCAAAGCCTATGTGAATTCTAGGAAAGGGATTAAGAATGCTTTTGGGGAACAGCATATTTATGCTGTGTGATCAGAAACCAGGAAAAGTATTCAAAATATATAATTCTCTATACTGAATATTTTGTAAACCACACAATCTGATCAAATTTGTGTAATATATTTCCACAAACTGAGAACCAGTTTGGTATTAGTTAAGATGCTGGGCTAGGAATCAAGAGACTGAATTCTATGCCTCTGTTAAGTATAAAAGCCAGCTCTGTGAGTGACTGAGAAACATTCTCTCTCTCTCTGCCCAACTCACCTCACAGGATTGTTGTTTTGGGGAAAATAAGAGGTAGGAGTATTAGGTACATTTTCTAAGGTTCCTTAAAAATAT